GCAGTTGAAATGAAAAAGAAAAACGGAAGCCCCACCTTGAATTCACGAACAGTGAGTTCATCGACGTGGGTAGGCACCTCTGAGCCTAGAAGATGAGAGGAAAGATACTGACAAATGACCAAATTGAAAGGATTATTACTGCCAGCATCTTACTAAAAATTTGTTCTAGCCCATCACTGTATATTTATTTAAGTAGCTCACTTCTTAGGCTCAGAGCGAGGAAACTAAAAAGCAGTTGTTGTTTTTTTTTAAATAACCATCTCTCAGTGAGATAGATTGGCAGGCCATCCAGTTATTTGACAAGAAGAGACTTAAAAAATATGAACAAAATCAGTAGGAATTTACTGAAGCTTTGCCGAGAAAGAGAGAGAGAGAGAGAGAGAGAGAGGTATTGTAGCTTTGGAGTTGAAGTGCCTTGAGGGTCCTCTCTGGACGGGAACATTCTCTTGCAATTTGTTTTGCTGGCTTGGGACACCTCCAGGTACCCACCTGATATGTCTGCTTCTGAGCTTGTATCAAGTTCTTCAAATCAGGATTGTCCTGTGGTGCTAGGAGCTTTGCTCCTGCCCAGAGGCTGAGAAGAACAAAGCAGTCAGAGGAAATCCCCCTGCTGCAGCCAGAGGCGGGGAGGAGGGAGCAGACTGCAGGGGGTGGAGGCCCAGGGAGTGGGGGGCGGGTGTGTGAATGTGTGTGGTGCTCTCCCCCTCCCACCCCCCTCCCCGCTTCTTTGGAGAGAGACTTCCTTCTAACAGGGACCCCTCTGTTGTTGTGGCTCAGAGCTTCGACTTGAGAAGCATAGTCTCCCAGTGATGCCACCGGATTCCTGATGTGTGACACCCAGGGCAGCGTGGTGAAGGCTGCCGTTGACGGCCTCGGGGGCCCCCAGACAGGGGTGCCATTGTGAGTCACATTTAGTGTGTGAGCTCCCCTTCCCATGACTGGCACTATTCTTAGTACCATTCTCTGCTCCCTGGGACAAAGGTCATCAGGGCCACAGTCTGGGTGGGTGGGTGGATAGGGCTGGGCCCCAGCGTGAGAGGACGTGCAGGAAGAAGGAGGGAGAGGCTTGACAATTTTAGGATATGTTGGAGCAAGGACAAGGGATGGAGCCCTTCGGCCCTGGGGTGCTGCACGGAGCAATACAGACACATCTTCTGGGGGAACCTGTCGCTAGGAGTGCTGGCCTAGGGTGTTTCCACAGCTCCAGGGCATGAGGAGTTCCTGTGGGCCTGGACCTGGATGTTGATGGTGAGGCTGCCTAGTTAGGGTGCCTGCCAACCCCAGACACAGCTACCGCCAGGCGTGGGCTCCCGCGTGGCCCTGAATTGCCCTTCCAGACCGACGTGAGGGTGACACACTGTTGTGGAAAGAGGCTGCTGGGCTAGACTGTCCACAAATCCAGGGGAGGAACAGGCCCCCCTGGAACCACATGCCTTCTGGGAGAAGATTCCTCGCCCTTCCCGTTTCTGTTGCTCCCCACACCGCAGGGCCGTCGAGGAGGCAGCACAGGGGGAGTAGAAAGGAACTCTGAGAAGAGTCGTGGATTCCTTTGAGTTGGCTCCACAGTGAGGGCTTTCTGAAGGGTGGGCAGCGCCTTGCAGGAAACCCCAGCCGAGAGCTCTGTGTGCTCCTTAGCTCTGGGTGGGCTCGCGGGAGTTTTCTTCAAGAATCGGGGGAAAGAGCCTGGAGCTGACGTCACTGCTATTTTGACTCCACTATTGTGAAGCCGAACCAGAGACGTTCCTTCCCCTTTAGTTCCTGTGCTTTCTTTAGGCATCTGCTTTTCCTATTAATGTTCCCTCCTCCCTTTGGTGTAAATTGAAGCAGAGTTGGAGAGCACCATTGTCTACGACTCGGGCTCCCAGTTCCTGAATTTCACAGTCTGATGTTCTCTGTGAACAAAGGTATACTCACAACGAGGAAAACCCCTGCAGACAAGGCCTCACCCTGCCCCCCAGCTCTATACACAGATGTCTGGGGTCAGACATCCAGAGCAGGCTGTCGCAGGACGGTGCAGCCTGTGATGCGGGCATTTCAGTTCAGGGAATGGCACTGGCAGGAAAACCAGCCATAGTCCCTCTGTCTGCGACCCCCTCCTCTAGGAGCTGGCTTCACAGACAGGAACGGAAGCCCCTTTCTCTGCCTCCCGGCAACCCATTCTTAGAGGCGGTGGGTGGTGGGGTGCATGCTCCTGAGCTGTCTCTCCGGGCCCTGCCTGGGTAGAAGCCTGGTGTTTCCTTCCCTTTCCTGATCTCGGCATCACTAGCCCTCTGCTCCCCACAGGGAATTTAAGATGAATAGTGTGAGAGAGCTTTGAAGGTAAAGAGCAGGAGAGCGAAATAATGGCGTGAGCAGCTGCCACAAAGGGACCTCACTAACTTGGCTGGAAAAGTCACCTGTGGAGGTGGACACCAGGGTCACTAGCTGTTGAGAGTTGGGAGAACCATGGGCTGTCCCATGTCCTGTGTTCTGTGGTTGCCATGACACGTGAGGAAGAGAAGACCTTGGATTAGTGTGACCAGGCAGGCAGAGTGGATGGCAGCCCCCAGCCTGGTCTTGTCTGGGGTGATGTAGTGTTGACTGAAGAATTTGGGGGCCAGACTGCATGGGATCCAGTCACAGCCACTGCACTTCTGATATGAGTGGCTTTGGCCAATGCCAGTGGACCCAACTGGGTACCAGTTTTCTCTGCTGTGACATGCGCTAGCAGCAGCAGCTACGCCATGGAGTTACTGTGAGGAGTGAGAAGAGAGAAACAGCAACACCAACGTGTCTGATGCATAGTGTGCCCGATAAATCATAGCTTTGCTTTGCTAGGGGGTCTTAAAGCGACTCCTCTCTCTGTCTTATGTCTGCGGTCTGTGGACACAACTCACAAGAGGACTGCCAACTCCAGGGCTCATTTACATAATTTTGGGTAGTGGATCTCTCTGTTTGTCCTCAAGGGTCCTGTTGGGCGTATAGTTAATGTGCATTCCATCAGGAAGCCTCTTATGTTGCAAGGGGTCTTGAAGCTTTTTTTTTTTTTTAACCACCAGAAATTCCATAGCATTTCTTAATAGAGATTTGTTTTCTTACACCTTCTGCCCATCAGGGTGGCTTTTCAATGGTTTCTAATATAATGTCGCATTTAGTCCTGTGAGCCCAGGGAGTAGTAGCTGGTGACTTAAGTCAGTTTACAAGAAACCTGCAAATGTGTCTACATTGTACACTCAGTGATTTTTCAACGAGGGGTGAAAACAGATGAGGCTAAGTCTTCAGTGGTGTGTACTAAGGGCTGTTCTTTCTAATGCAAATTAGTTTTATAGGCCTTGGCTGAATGTATCTTAGACTACCTGCAAGATGGTTTTAAAGAGCTCAAGGTGCCTTTTCAGAAGGGCGGGGCAGTCATATGTCCTCTTCCATGTAGCTGGGGGTGTGCAGAGGGGGAGCAGGGGAACCCCCACGAGGAAGCAGTTACTGAAGGAGCATTTCCTCACTGTCGGATTACAGCGCACGCCCGGCACTGCTTCCTCGCAGGTGCCTGTCGAGCTGGCCCCGTGCTTGGAGTCAGAAGGCCTGGCCACGAGACCCAGGACCACCACTTTCTAACAGTGGCTGGAGCAAAGCCACACAGACTTTCCTAGCTCCTTTTCCACGCCCATGGAACGGGAACAGTGAGACCGCTGCGCTTTGTGCCCAGAGAGGAGCGGGCGGTGGGTTTTAGGAGCGAGCAGCGTGATGCGTATGGACGTGCCTTGTCGAAGTATAAGATGGAACGGGAGATTACCTTGATAGACTATCTAGGACATTTCTTTTTCAGATGGAAAGGGAACCAACCTAAACCTTGTTCCTTATTGAATCTCAGTTCACTTTGGATCAGACAAATTTGAAAGTCGGGCTAAGGGTTAGAACTGCAAAAAGTCGAGTTTTTCTACATGAGTTAGAGCATCCCAGGCTTCCTTCATGGGCACAGGCTGGGTGTTTCCCCATCCTGCTCTGTCCGGAAGGCTTCTGAGGCAGTGTCCTCGGCACCGTGCAGACCCGGCCCGCGCAGCGCGGACAGCTGTGCCAGTCTCTGTCTCTCTGGCTGCACTCAGGAGTCACACAAGACTCACTGGCAGCCTTGTCGTTTCTGAGTAGACACTTATCCTCAGAGGAAATCCATGTAGCAGGAATCTTTTAGCATATGATAAATGGACTGTCAGAACATTGTCAGACCTTCCAGAACCAAGATTTGGGCAGTGTTGGTGGCTGAGACAAGAGAAGTGTGTGTGTGTGTGTGTGTGTGTGTGTGTGTGTGTGTGTGTGTAAAGTAAATTAGAATATACTGAACCCATGAAGAATTGAAGATAGGCATCACCTGACCTCTGAGCATTTCCCGGGTGGCAGCTTAATTACTCACAAAGTGATGATTCTTTCCTCTCTTTGCTTGGGTGCTTGCCTGTACCTGTGACGTGGGAAGACAGGATGGTGGTGGAGAGGAATATTAAGACCCAATTAACTCCTTCTTGCATAACCTTATTACAGTAATCTTCTCGTTTGCTCCTCAGGGGCCAAAGGCTCCCTATATAGAGGAGTGCTTATGAGGTTTGACTTCTGGTGGGAACTGGCAAGGACGTTCCTTAGTTAATACCTCTATTACTTCTGGAGGCAAATGACTTAGTTTTTAAAGGCACAAAAGACTATGCTGCCTTAGAATATCTCAGAGGACAGGGCCTATAGTTTTTTTTCCTAGAGTTTGCTTAGCAATAAAAATGGACCGACCCTTAAGCCATTCAAAGGAAGGTCATTGATGTATCGTCTAAGTGGATTTTCTTTATTCTTTTGATTGGCACTTCTTCACCTTTTCAGTCTGCGTGAGCTCTAGCACCGCCTCCAGCGTTTGTGCTCTGTGTTGCCTCCCTCTTCTCCTGGCTGGATGGACAGAGAGGAGGGCAGAGGGAGCGCGCTCTCCCGGGGTTAGTGGCTGCGAGCTCTGTGCATCCGGTGTAATGGTTCACGATGCCTTGTGTTTCCAGGCAGCGGACCGATCCAGCTGTGGCAGTTTCTTCTGGAATTACTCACTGATAAATCCTGTCAGTCTTTTATCAGCTGGACAGGAGATGGCTGGGAATTCAAGCTTTCTGACCCAGATGAGGTAAGCAGGGAGTGATTCCAGAGCACTATGTTGGAGGGAGCTCTGGAAAGGGGCTGTGTGAGTCTGGTGACATTTTCTATCTAGGATTCCAGTCCCAGCTCTGCCACTTGCTACCTTTGTGATCTTGAGCAAGTTGCCTAGCCTGTCTGTGCCTTAGTGTCATTATTTGGAAAAATAGAGAAAGTATCTACGTTGCCCATTTGTTTTCTAGGATTAACTAATAACACGCACAAAGGATGTCAGGCACATAGTATACTACCCTTCGTAAATGTGAGTTGCCTCCTCTCAGCACTTTTCCTGCCCCGTGGCTCTGTGAATCTGAAAGGGGCCAGACAATTCAAGAGGCCTTGCAAGATTGGTGCAATTTGTTCACTAATTCATTCTTTGACCCAACAAATGTCCATTGAGTGGTTGCTCTCTGCCCCGCCCAAGTCTGGAGATAAAAAAACGAAGAGAGGCAACATTCTCTGTTGTGGCAGAAACAGCGGGCGAATTGTGCCCAAGGACGCAGAAATGCTTCCCATCGATGGGAGGCAGGTAGGATTGTAGCTCAGTGCTCCCCGAGTCCCCCACACGAGATTTCATGCTTTCAAAGCAGGGACGTTCTCTTAATAACGTAGGGAGAGAAGAGAGTCTACAGTGTTGCTTCCTTTGTCACTTTAACTCCATTAGATAGAAGTTCAGGGTCTATGTTTTCATCAATGTAGAGAATCACCTTTATTGCCATCCGTACCCAGCCCTTGAAAACTACAACTCAGAAGGGTAGGTCAGAAAAATAGTTTCCATGTACATGAATCTCTTAACTGATTTCCTTGAAGATCAGAGGTCACCATGAATGGGTATAGGCACATAAACATGTGTATTTGGATTATTTGATAGATTTTTTCTTAACCTCCCTCCCCTTTTAAAATTTCAGGTGGCCAGGAGATGGGGGAAAAGGAAAAACAAACCCAAGATGAATTACGAGAAACTGAGCCGCGGCCTCCGCTACTATTACGACAAAAACATCATCCACAAGACGGCGGGCAAACGCTACGTGTACCGCTTTGTGTGTGACCTGCAGAGCCTCCTGGGGTACACGCCCGAGGAGCTGCACGCAATGCTGGACGTCAAGCCTGACGCCGACGAGTGATGGACCCCAAAGGGACCAGGGAACCCCTGCTGAGACATTTGCAAGAACAACCACGTCGGTTGGACTCTTCATTTTTAATTGTTATTCTATTTTTAATTTTCCAGAACTCATTTTTTTACATTCAGGGGTGGGAGCTAAGCGAGCTGCAGCTATAATCTATTGTGCGTCATTGGAAAAGGAGAGCAGGACTGCTGGGGTGGGTGGGGCAAATTTTCAGGAGAGAAAGGTCTTCTTAGAAGCTTGAAGAATCTTGCTTAAGGGAGGACGAGACTAATGTGTCTAAAGGTTTATAAAAATCATCCGTGAACAAAAGTCTCAAGTTACAGACTTGTCACCAAAAGAAACTGAGACATCCTGAGTCATGAGACAGATGAAAGGTGATTAACTTGCTTCTGTTTCTGGGTCTTGGGGGGCGGGCAAAAAAAGAGAGGTGGGGTAGGTCATTTTGTTTGGGGGGTGCACAAAACTCAAGGACTATTTACCTTTTACTGTACTTTTTAAAATGAAGATGAACTTCAGACTTCACTGGGGAGGGCCCAAAATTGTTTTTTTGTGTGTGTGTGTTAAAACTTATTTTATTAAATTTTGTGCCAGTATTTTTTTTTCTTAAAAATCGTCTTAAGCTCTAAGGTGGTCTCAGTATTGCGAAATCATGCAAGTTTGTTTTCATTTGCCAACTGAAGATTCTGTCACGGTGAAAGAAAGCTGTTTATATAGACCCCACTGGAAACGCAAAGTGCTGTCACTGAGCTCGGGGATCCCAAACGCATGTGGCTGTGTAGATGAAGGGAAAAATAATGTGGATTTGGAAACAAGGGAACTGTGCATGTGAATTTCAAATGTCATTTTAAAAAATTTTCATCACGTCCCTCTACTTATTTGTCATCAGTGGATTCTTGGGGTTTAGACTTAACGTTGAGCTAAGAAGCATTAAGTCTTGAACTGAATGTATTTCGCAGCCCCGGTTTGGGACCACAGTAAATGTGGGAGCACTGTTGACGTCATGGAAAGGATATCGAAGGAGGAACGTTGACTCTGTTCTTTATTGGTTCTGGACCTGTAACATGGGACTTGGAATAAAAGCTGGGTGCATGGGCATTACTCCCGAGGTCTTGAGAACGAAGTCCTGAATGTGTGTCATTCCAAACTAATGCTCTACACTTTCTCATTTACGTCTACTCTTCCCAGCCTCCCGTACTTCTTGCTTCCCTCCCACCCCCACTCTGTTATTCAGTGCAGAGAAACATGCAGCTTTCTAATTGTGGAGTGAAAGAGTAACAGCAGACATGACATGAGTTGAAGAGTGTCTGAGAAAGCCATTTAGACTCACTGGGTTTTTGGAGCGATGGAAATTAAGGGAGCTTATACAAGTCAAAGGGGGCGTGGCTGTCTTTGGGAGGAGAAGCGCAAGGCTTTCCTTTGAAGAATTTAACTAAGCTGGTTGAGTTGGATGTCCGGTGAGACTGAGCATGCAAAGTGAATAGTGCAGCTGCTGGTGGGGTCTTGCTCTTGGGTCTGTTACCGTGGCACAGGGTAAGTGCAGGGCAAAACTGCAGAAGAAAGGGATGACTAGAAGACAAGGGAAACATAAGAATAGGAGCTTGAATGAAGACAGTAAGGTGGTCCATGAGGTTTGCATACAACTTTAGTTTCCTCATAATGTTGCTACAGACTTAATCAACTGAGGCAGTTGTGATGGGTAATCTAAAAAGAGGGTTTTGCAGGAGAAGGGACCAACATCTATTAATAAGGACAAGTTCCTAATTCAATCAGAATCCACCCCCCACCCCCCATTAAAGAGATGCCCAATTGAAAAAGGAGACAATGGGACGGCTTTACAGACTACAGGGAGAGAGGCGAAGAAGCATTGAAAATGGGCTTCTCAGAACCGGCCTTTCCTGGGCTCTAGCTGAGAAACTGAAAGTACAATACAAACAATCTTCTAGCGTACCTTCAAGAAAGGGCATTGTTTGCTCCCAGGTCCTCTTGCAGACCTGCATCATCAGGAACTTAGCTCTGTGATTCGTGAGTGTCCTCATACTGATAAATTGGAATGTCTCCTTGGAAAGCAAAGGCAGAATTAGCCCAGCTGTGTATTTTGATCTTCTTCCAAATGCAGGTGCCTTAATGAAGCTCTCGAACTGTTTTAAGAGCTGCTCAGGGAGTGTTAGGCGGAACTGTTGGACTACATTGTTTTTTCGTAGATTATGTGATCTTAGTTGGGCACTGGCGAAGGTGTGCATGTGCGTGCGTGTGTGTGTGTGTGTGTGTGTGTGTGTGTGTTTGCAAAACTGCAGCTGAGATAATACCTGGATTTTCTAGGTATGCCTTTCCACACTTCAGTGACGGGCGAGAGTAGAACCAAGGCTGGGCATCAGTCGTGGCTTGCTGTTTGCAGCCCGGCATGAAATCATTTTCTCAGTTCATCAACCTTTCGCATTACATTTATGCTGAAAACTCCCCTTAGTGAGTGTCTAACTCCTACAATAATTCCATAGCAGCTAAGATATAAGAAAGTGCCTCCTCATGCTCCTCAGCCTGCCTGTCCGCTAAGATGCCTTTTTCTCTAGGTCCACCGTTCTCAGTATTTATAGATAGTTTACTAGTTAAGACAGCCTTGTTGATCTGGCCAGATGCTTTTTCTCCGTCTGTCCAAAGGCCAAGAGACCATCCCAGGAAGAGTGGCGGGTGGTTTATACACTGGAAATGCAACAGAATTGTTGCATTTATGCTTTTTAAAAACACATGTTAGCTTCAGAGGAAGGGTGGGCAAATCTGGCATAGCTGGGAGAAACCCTTATTTTCCTGAAGATGCCTTAACCCACGTCAGTTTTGGCTGCAGGGTTCAGAGTCACTTTTGTGCCCTTCCTCATTCGGGGCTGGGGGACTTCCCTACGAGGAGCCCTGGTTTTGTGGCGGTGGGGACTGGAGGTAGCATTCCAAGATCAGATGTGCTCTTCCTCACTTTGGAGATGAACACTCTGGGTTTTAGAGCATTAACCTGCCTAATCTTCATGATGAAAACAACACCCTCTCTCTTCTAGCCATGCTGTGCATGCTGCTTTCTCTGTTGGGGTCTATATAAATGCGTTCGCTCTTACCTACATTCCAAAGAAGTGTCGAGGAACCATAAATATATGTATACATATACATATATAAAATATATATATTAAAATGAAATTATCTCTATCAGGAATACTGCCTCAGTTATTGAACTTTTTTTAAGAAGACTTTTTTTTAAGCTGATAAATATAGGGGTAAAAAGATGTTATATTGTGTTTGACTATTTTCCAACTTGTATTTTCATATAATTTATATTTTTTAAAAAGCTGAAAATTTAAAAGCAAGATGAAAAAAAAGGAAAAGCAGGTGCTTTTTAAAAATCAGAACTGAGGTAGCTTAGAGATGTAGCGATGTAAGTGTCTATGTGTTTTTTTTAATGCAAGAAATTTCTTATGGGGGTTTTTGTTTGTTTATTTTAGTAGCTGATGCTGGCACATCATTTTGCTGGAGAGTTTTTTATATACTGTAGCTTGATTTCATATTGTATTTTAAACTGTGTGAAATTAAAAAACAAAGAAATTCATTCATAACCACGTGGATTTGGCTTGATTCTTTCCTGTCTGGTTCATGTGTGAAAGGGGGTCAAATGAACCAATCAGAGGCAAGCGCGGGAAGGGATGTGCCTCCCTCTTGCCGATCCCACTCGCTCTGGATCCTTTCAGATAAAGACTTCCCAATAAAGTGAGAACTGCAGTAAGAACATAGGCAAGTATTACCCTGACTGCTGTGCGTCCATGGATTGGGCGTTGTCCTGCAAAGCAAAAGATCTCCTGTTTGATTCCTAGTCGGGGCACACGCCTGGGTTTTGGGTTCAGTCCCCAGTTGGGGCATGTGCAAGAGGCAACTGATTAATGTTTCTCTCCCTCTCTTTCTCCCTTCTTTCTCCTTCCTCTGAACATAAATAAATAAAATTTAGAAGAGAATACAGACAAGTGTGATCTCACACCCTAATTGTTGAATACATGGTGTCATCCAATGTGAAATGTCCCTGGCCTTACCATACTTCACTCTCTTCCATCTGAAGGACTAAGAGCAATGCAAAGGACATTTTCAATGACTCAGCAGATAACCATCTGATTTTAACTGGGTGAAGTTCCTGATGCTAATGTAGGAAGTTAAACATCTTTTCTGATGCTTTGAACAGGAACGGTCTTCTTGTTTCTTCTTCTGATAGCAATTTTCTCTATGCCAGGTTGAACCTATCACATCTGTCTCCTTGACCCAACTCTTTTGGGAGGACTGAAAATTAAGAATGATAGTGTCTGTCAGAACCCCAGCAACTCAAGTCATCAGTGAAGTCATATTTGCAAGTGCTCTGGGGCGGAGTGCTTAAGAACCCATCCTGTGTGGTGCTTTTCTCTTGCTGTTTGTTGAAACTGTAGAAGGTGGATGTTTTTAATTAACACCAACATTTGCAACACGAATCCCGACTCACAGCTGGAAAGAGCATTTTTGCTGAATTGTTCACAAAGAGAGCTCTGTTTTGGGAAAATCTGTTTCTTCAGGTCTGGAACTTGAGGTTTGCTGAGTGCACGTTAAGCACCAACTGTGTGGTCTAGTGGTCGGGGAGCCTGGCTGGCCACGAGCAGGGCTCTGGTCCGACATCCCGGGCAGGCCACCACCGCTCACTCAGAGACTTGGGGAAGGAAGGTGGCTTGAGGTCCTTTTAAGTTTTAGACTTCAGCTGAAAACCTAGGCAAAACCATAACTCCCAAGCCAACCTGAGGCCACATCTGCGCCATTCTCTCCCTAAATAAACAGTACAACCCTCAGTCAAGAGTTTGGACAGAGAGCTTTCCTTCACTACTAAGTTGCTGTTATACCCCAAAGTGTCTGATTTCATGCTGACCAGGTGAAAAGGTACAAGACATGCTTGAATGAAACCAGCTTAGATCTCTTACTTCTCAAACTAGGAGTTTAGCTGGGGAGCTCTCAGACAACTGAGCTTTAGTGATCGCTCTTAATAATGCAGCTGAGACCACTGTACTGGAGCAGAGGTGGCAGAAGCTGGGGGAGAATATCTTCTAAAACAACTGCAGGATTTTGGGGAAACAGGGTAGGGTTAGGATAGATGGAGACACAGGGAAAAGAGGAGACATTCAGAGAAGCTGGTGGTCAAAAACCTCTAGACTTAAGAGGCTTCCAGAAGGGTCTGGGACAAGCTAATTGCCCACGCTAGTCTGGCGCATCCCTGCAATAGCTTTGGAGCAAGCTGTAGAACCTCGCAACAGCACCCCCACCAAAAAAAAAATCGAACGAGAGGTTTTCCTGGATAATGAAGTGTAATTATGAGTATTTTAACCAAAATCTGAAGGATTGTGGTTTGTGTTTTGATTAAAACGAGGCAGGTAATGGAGACTAGATATTGCATGCTGGCTCGCTGTGGGCTGATTCTATGCCACTGAGATGTTTGTGTGGCCTTCCAAGGTTGAAACCCACCTATGCAGCTCAAGGGAACAATGTACTGCAGTAGGGTCTTGGAAGCTGGGTGGTCTTGGATCCTGGCTTTCCTTTCTAGCAAATACCCATAGACACTGAGCAGAGGCCACCCCCTCAAGATGAACTTGAATCTCCTATTTTGTCCCTGGTAGGTCAGCCCCACTCATTCACATTCCTGCCAGCGGATTTTGAGTTTGGGACCCCTGTGAAGTTGTCTCCCCACATCCCATGTTTGCTTGGCAGGAAGCTCACCTTATCCTGGTGCCTACAGTGGAAGAGAACATGAGGCCTTCAGGTTCATCAGAACCCTCTGGCTTTGAAGCTCTGATCTTCCCGTCATACCATGCTGCTGCCTCAGAACCTGAAAAAGTCTCCTTTGGTCATGCTGGCCAATGGTCACCGTCTGTGGGAGCCACAGCCCTGGTTAATAAGAGATAAATTCACATACCAAGTATAGGACAAGGCCAGTCATCTTTCCATAAGGAAGCTTTTCCACTTCCATGATGCTTTCTGACCTCTGCTTTTCCCCACTGGCTGCTCTGGGAGGCAGGTGTTGTGCATACAGTTGTACAAAGGCCTCCCTCCAGCTCAGACACTGGGAAGCTTGACCCTCTGGGTAGCGGGTCCAGGGACCTGGCTGGGCCATTGCATGAGTATGTTGGCTCCCATACTGCTGGCCGTTCACTGTTCTTTGGGATTGTTCTATGCTACAAGAATCTTCACCTAAGAACAACAAATAACAGCAAAGCATTTTCCTGGCACCTCTTGCCATGAGACAGATATTTAAGGAGTCTGATAAAAGCAGGTGTTGTTCAATTGGTGAAAAATTTAAAAGGCCGGAAGTTGAGGGGAGAAAAAAAATACCTCAATTAGGGGGTAAGGTGGCTCTGGCCTCTCCCTTGTCCCTTGGCCAGTGCCATTTCCTGTTTTACTCAATGTCCCAGGCCATTTCCCTTTTCCCATTTTCCTGGAAAATTATTTCCATCCTGGGAAAGCCAGTTTTGTTCGATGGCTTCGTGTTATCTCAGCACGCTGATGCCCAGTATAATGATAGTGACGGTCCTTGTGCCATAGCAACACTAAGGAGTCAACAGCGAGCAGGTCCCAGGACCTGCTGGGAGAGCCCAACACCCTCTGGGATTTGCAATCTTGTTTCTAATCTCTCACCCCTGCCATTCAGGCTCTCATGCTCCCTGAGCCATAGCGTTTTCACAGATTTCTGACGTCAGGTTGCTCTGGGCACTCCATTGGAGCCACGCGGAAGAGCAGGTGTCTTTCAGGAGCCACCTGTGGGAATTCCTGAAGGTCAGGAGGTAGCCACAGCTCACAGCCTGAGCTGCTGGCCCTGGGCAGTAGAGTGGGCTATTTTTAACCTTCCTGCGAGGCAAATCATAAAACTTCAGCTGTGACTCTTTCCCCAGATGTGCCTAGAAATAGTAAATGACTTGAAGAAGTGGCCACACTCCTCGGAAGGCTGGAAATGGACGATCACTCTCAGGTTGCATTGCCTTTTTGAGTCAATAATATTCCAAAGGTTAGGAGAGATGGGCCTGAGAACCTCAAAAAGACTTTGGGGATCTTGTAGTGTTCGCACAAATCTGTCATTTTTATGAACCTTGGGGGATAGCAAGTACGAATTCTCTCTGCTAATCTATTTCTCAGGCATACCAGTATTTTCTCATTTGTTCTGAGTTCCATGAGAGTAGGAAATGTTACTAGTGTAGCCAATGTACCTTTAATCTGGGGTATTGATACATATTAGAAGAACAGTAAGTGGTAGGGGAGACAATGACCAGTCTTTGGAGGATAATGGATATTTCGTCCAGGTGTCTGTTTCCTCTCTGGTCTGTTTTCCGTGATGACGTCACTGAGCTGTGCACCTGAACCCAAGGAGGCTGCAAGTATTTTCTTCACCGACTGACCTGAGGCCACCAGGTGAGGGGTGCAATCGTTCGTGTGTGGCTGGCAGGTGCACTAACTCTGGCTCAGGCTTCTCGTTTAGGAGCGGTTAGGGATGTAGGTGGGCAACCTACATGGTTATGAGGCACACCAGCCGCTCTGGACACCCGTGTGTGAAGCCTCTGTGAAATCCCAGAACATGGCCTGGGCCACAGATTCCAAACAGCCTTCTCTGCAACCACAGCCAACTGAAAACTGAAGCCCAGCTAACAAAGACTGGATTCAAACAAGGGTGGCCACCTATCCTGGTGTACTTGGGACAGTCCCTGTGTCTACTCATTGTCCTGGCATAATTATTCATGGCATTTCATTTTACTTTCATTATATGGTCTCCTTATGAAACCCACTAATAGCCCAGAACAGGGGTGTCAAACTCTTTCACCCGGGGCCACATCAGCCTTGCGGTCGCCTTCAAAGGGCCAAATGTAATGTTAGGACTATATAAATGTAATTGCTCCTTAACAGTTAAGCAAGAGCTCGGTGCTGCCACTGGGTTGAAACAAGGTGCTGGACAGGATAAAACAAGGTGGAGGGCCGGATTCGGCCCGCGGGCCTTGTGTTTGCCGCCTGTGGCCAAGAAGCTGATGAGTGGGAGAGCAAACCAGAATTCTAAATTGTACACTTAAGAGTCAAAAGGGACCTTAAAGATTATTCAGTCCAACCTCTTCAATGAGGCTTACATGAACATGAGGTTCAGAGAGGCCAAAGAACTTGCCCAGAGTCACATTGTTTTGATGAAACTGGTAACAGAATGAACGAGAGGCTGACTGTCCCCATGTCCTCCCAGCCCCATTCCTCCTCCTCTGCTCTATGGAATCTCATCCAGTTTCTAGGCAACACGCGGCTGAACGTTGACTGACCCTAGACGATTCAGAATTGTGATAATTCTGTTCATTTCGATGGATTCCAACAATCTGCTAAATGCTGATGTTCAGAGTGAGAATGGGAGACTAGGGGAGGTAGACCCCAGGGTGGGGGGAGGTCTCGGATCTCTTAGTCAGAAATTGAAATGCAGGGTCTCTGAGGCCACAGTTCATGGGACTAGCGGGTGTTATAGCTGAACAGTACCCTAGAAAAAGACACTGCCAAATTTGTCCTGGCAACAAACATTCATTGAATACTTGCTATGTGG